AAGAGAAAGAAAGAAAGAAAGAAAGAAAGAAAGAAAGAAAGAAAGAAAGAAAGAAAGAAAGAACAATGATCAAAAACCAAACTCCTCCTTCCCAGCCTGTGGAAAGTCCTATGTAAAAAGGCTGCTTCCCTCACCATTCTCTCTTTCTACTGTCTCTGCTCCGCCTCACCTCTCCCCTTCTTGCAACAAGCTTGGTTGAATAGAGAAGGAACCAGAATGCCTTGGGAACATGATTTACTTGTATGCTGTGTCTTTTTTGCTGCCATTTGTAGTTGTGTGCTGCAACTGGCATTTCCTCACTGTTATTCTTTAATTGTGCCTTTTGGAGCCTGGGCCTGGGTCCAAAGTGGAGAAAGGGGTATTCCACTCTTTCCCATCTTAAAATTATATTGCAACATGGAAGAACAATGGATTCTTCCTTTACTTTGCTACTCAACAGCTACAATTATTTATTTGTTACATTTGCTCCTGTTAATCCTGTTGTCATTTAGAGATCCCCTCACAACCGTTGTCTTGGTTCTGCCTCCTGATATTACAGCAAGAGCATTATAGCAAATTATCTCATTTGTTTTAAACTTTGGGATTTCCTCATCCTTATTTTAAAGACATATACATTATTGGCTTGAAGCATTCTTGCCTTGTCAGATTCCCTTCACCCACCCCCTTGGTTCTCACTACACCCAAAGAAAAAGCTGTGTATCAATTGAAAACCTGGTCCTGCCCTGAACCGATTGTTGCTGCCGCTCCCCCTCCCCCATGTGATTTATTTATTTATTATTTTTACTGGAGTGAAAAGAGGAGACCAGCTAGGAAGCATCCACATGAAGGGGTTTTCCTTAATATTGTGGCAAGATTCCGAAATGAATGAAGAGATAGTCCATTGAAAGGCGTTGAATGCCATGACAACTAGGAACAACCTCAGATTTATTCCAAACAGTTAGAACACATTGAAAGAGGGCGTCAATCATGTATTATTTCGCCAGTGAAATAAATGCAAAACCTGGTCTAGGACAAAGGCTTCCAACAGAAGCCGGACATTTGTCTACATTTCGCCCATTGTCCGCAGCTTAGCAATCGGTTTGTATTTGTGTTTGCCCGGGTCCGACCACCCAGGATGCGCTCAGGGACTTGCTTTAAAAGAAGAAGAAAACACCCGAAGCATTGTCATCCGCCTCGCATACTAGATGGGAGGCAGGGGGAGGGGTGGGGTGGGACACGGGGAAATAAACTGATCAACGATCTTTAATTGCTTTGGGGCGATTTCTCAGATCCATCCCCCACCCCCGTCCATCAGAGTCATGCACCCGGTCATTGCCTAATAAAGTCAAGCAGCCATGTCTCTTGGTCACCTCCCAAACTGCTAGAGGACTTTGGGAAGAGAGGCAATCTCCTCTGACTTCCTTTGTAACCTCTCTTCCCCAAAGTAGGCTAAGTCCTAAGTTGCCCTCCGCGTGGCGGCCAGCGGTGCCACAGCGCAGCCCCACCCAGATTCCCTCGGAGATTAACAACTCTGCCTGCCGGACTCTGTCTCCGGCCTCAGAGCAAGAGGCAGCCCGAAAGTTCA